AGAATAAATAGGTCTTAAAACAGTTAAAAATATAAAAACTAATAATTACAAGTATACATTTCTCTGCCCGATATTTGGGTTTATGTCAGTTATTAGCTCACGAGGTGACATTAGCCTCATGTTTTCTCTGGCTACTGATGATGGAAGCTATTTCTTGTAATAACTCAAGTTCTATGCTATTCTTTGCCAGATATATATCACCATTGTAGTAGCATATGAGGAGATTTGCTGTTAATTCATATTTCTGACGGTTTTTTGTCATTTGTATGTTTATTGCATTTTACCGATAATCCATGTCTGGTGTTATGATGCCCTCTATTGGATTTCTGTGTTACTACAGGCCATTTTCATCCTGCATGTATGTGTAGCCGCTTTGCCCGCATGGCTATTAATATGCATCTTTATTGTTTCTTCTGTTTCAGATAACCACACACACACATTTATACACCCACATACATATACATACAAAACCGAATACAACTACATCGTTCCTATCTCTACGTCATCATCTGTCCCATCATCTCCCATGTACCTCCTATTATTCCATCAATAAAACTTCTAAGCTGCACCGGTGGAGTTGGCCTATTCCTTCTGACCGAGGAAGATTCAATTGATGAGAAATCTGAAATTAGCGCAAGCTAGACGCACACAGTCTTCTACAGTAAAAGCAAGGATCTTAATCTCCTCAATTGTCGTGCAAGTCACATTAATGTTGAAAACTGCAGGCTGAATTAATGTACAGAAGTTGTAGAGGAATCCATGGTACTTTGCACTGAAGGTGAAGTGTGCTTTGGAAGTTCATCAAAAGCTACCTTGGATGATCTTGTGATCACTGATGGTGAAGTGTCTTTGGTGCTGCTCTTGTTTTCACCAACATGCAGGAGGAAGGGCTGTCCTGGTTTCACAGCAATGAGGAAGGCTTCAACACTGGCTTGCATCTTTGACATAATAATAAGACGACGAATAATAAAAATGATTAAATATATTTAGCAGCACAGCTACATTCAGATAGCAAACAAAGCCAATGAGAAAGTGCTTCTACAAAGAAGCAGGATCATTAGAATAACCACATACCTGCACATATCTGAAAACATGGTCCACAGTTTGACATGAGCTGTTTTGGATTCTTCTTGTGGCCTTTGGATGTAGGACGAAGCACATGAACCAACGGAAGAATGCCTGGTTTTCCCAGCCTGGAGGAACAACAGGATAAATAGCAGACACATTAGGATAATAAATACAGATTTTAAAGAGAAGTGAGCAAAACTAACCAGACCCACCTGTGTATGTGTCACCATCACAGTCATTCAAAATACTTTGTCCACCCGGTTTACCCTGGAGAGCATTTTTCACCACCTACAACATAAAGCATAAAAATGTCAGAAATAATTACCATTAACACTACTCAGACATTAGGCATTGTAGAAATTAGTCAGCTTATA